GACGCCCGCGTCGTCGCGCGCGTATGCCGAAATCCTTCAAAACCCATCGGTTTCGGAAGGATGTTTAAATCGTGCGTCCAAAAAACCTACAAAAAACACAAGGTTTCGCAACACGGATTTTCAACAAAAGCGTGCGCGCGCGCTCTTGCGTCGTCGTCGTCGTCGTCGTCGTCGCCGTCCTGCCTCCTCCCGCGTCGTCGTCGTCGTCGCCTACGTCGTCCTCTGTCCTTCCTCGTGTTCGTCGTCGTCGTCCTCTTTGGCGTCGTGGTTGTTTCCGTCGTCGTTGTCGCCGTGGTCGTCGTTTCCTCTTCCCTTGACGTCGTCGTCCGTCGTCGGCGTCTCGTCGTTGACCCTCCTATTTCGTCGCCGTCGTCGTCGTCGTCGTGTTCCCTCCTCTCTCGTCGTTGTCGTCGTCGGCGCCGCCGTCCTCCCTCCATTTTCGTCGTTCGCGTCGTCGCCGTCCTCCCTCCTCCCTCGTCGTTGTCGTCGTTGTCGCCGTCGTCGTCCTCCCTCCCCCTCGTCGTCGTCGTCTTCGTTGGCGGCGTCGTTGTCGTCGTCGTCGTCGTTGTCTTCGTCGTCGTCGGCGTCGGCGTCGACGCCGTCGTCGGCGTCGTCGTCGTCGGCGTCGTCGTCGTCGTTGTCGTCGTCGAAGTCGTTGGACACGTCGTCGGTGTCGTCGTAGTCGGTGTCGGCGGCGCCGTCGTCGTCGTTGTCGCTACCGTCGTCGGCGTCGGTGTTGGTACCTAACGTCACGAACTTGTCTTAAGAGGTCTTGCGACCAAGTTGCGGGTGGGAAGGTGGGATGTTTGCACGAGCAGTGGAGAGGACAGCTTCAAGACGGTCAAAGTAAATTGCACCACGCAGATAACACCACATAGTGCACAACATAGATTGCACACCGTATTTGAACCACGTACGCGGCACCACAACTACTGCCCAACACATAAGACAGAACATATACTGCAAACCATACATCGCAACACCTAGTTGGTCAAACGCCGATTGCACCGGCTGAAGGGTTGGATCCCCGTCCCGTGCATTTGACCCAAGTTATCTGACGGTGGCGGCGGCCGTCGCGCTGGCGGCAGGCAGCGCGCGCCTTCGTCGTGGCTCCTTTTTTTTGTCGGAGCACCCCCCCCCCCCGACATTTCGGCCCCTTCCAACTCTCTCCCTTCCCTACCTGCCCCCGCTTTCTTATAGTTCCCCCCTCGCCCTCCACCCGCCATCGGTCGCCGCGAACGCCCCTAAGCCCTGCCAAGCTGCACTATGCCCTGGTAAGCCGACAAGCCTTGCTAAGAATTGCTCAGCCCTGCTAGATCCAGGTGAGGTATGCCTCGCCTTGCTGCGCAGTAATCATGCGAAGCGCTGCCATGCCCTGCGCATCCTTGGTGAGCACTGTGAGTTCAAACTCTGCGGAGCCCTGCGAAGCTCCGCCAAGCCCTGCCCAACCCTGCCACGCCCAAGAAATCTGTGCTGCGCCTTGCTAAGCTCTGGCAACCCGAGGCGAAGCACTGCTGGGTTTTGCAAAGCCACGCCCAGCCTGGCTAAACTTTGGCAGGCTCCACTGAGCCCTGCTGCCCATCGGCGAGCCGTGGCCAGCCCCGCTAAGCCCTGCGAAGCCTTGCGGCGCTTTGCTCGGCCAAGCTAGGCTCTGCGAAGCCTTGCTGAGCCGCGGCATAAACTCGGGCAAGCCCGTGAGCCTTGATAAACCTTGCCACGTTCTGCTCAGTCCTGGCAAGATCTGCTCAACCCCGCTGGCCTTGGTAAGCCTTACTACACTCGAAGGCCAAGGCCTGGCAAAGTTATGTTAAACCCTGCTAAACCTTACTCAGCCTTGAAGGGCCTTGACAAGCTGAGCAAAGCCCTGCGAAGCCTCGCGAAGCATTTAAGCCCTGCTGGGCTTTGCTGGGCCCTGCTAAGCCCTGCTAATACCTGGTGGGCCTTGGCAAGCCCTGCTAGGCCCTGGTAAGATTTGCTAAGCCCTCACCGAGTGCTGCTGAGAACTGCGAAACTCGGCTAAGCACTGCTAAACCCTGGCAAGCCCCGCCAAGCCCTGCTAAATCCTGGAACGCCCTGCTGAGCACTGCTAGGCTCTGGCAACCGCAGGTATGTTTAGCCCTGCTACTATTGGTAAGTCGTGCTAAGCGCTACTATGTTCGGCTGGCCCTAGTACATGTTGTTCCGCCTAGGTATGCCCTGGTAGACCCTGCTAAGCCATGCTGCGCTCTGCTAAACTTGGCGATTCCCTGGCAAGCGCTGCTAAGCACTGGTAAGCCTTGATCAGCCCAGCGAAAGCCGTGCTCAGCGTTGGCAGTCGTTGCTGAGCCTTGGTAGGCTTTGGTCCGCCCTGGTAAGTCCAAGTAAGCTGTGCTAAGCCCTGGTAAACCTTTCGACGCCTTGGTGTGCCATGGTAGGCTCTGTCTACATCCTAACAAAGAATCCTGGGCAGGGAACCGTTCGTAGGGAATCCTTGGCTAAGAATCCTTACCAAGGGATCCTTCGCAAGAGATTCTTATTCTTGAATACTTATTCGAAAACCCTCGTGCAAGAACCCCTCATTGGGATTCCTGCGTCGGGAACTCTTATGGAGAAGTCAATAGTACGCGTTCTTCAGGAATGAATCCGTACTTCGGAATCCTGAGTATGACATCCGACGTGGGGAATCCTGAGCACGGGAGTCGTTACAAAGGAATCATGACTGATCCACGGAGCTGCGCGAGTCGAAGTCTGCCGACGCGCGCTTCTGTCTCTGGCGCGCAACTGCCAGCAAGCTGCGGTGTGCGGTCGACAACCAATGTGAAATCTATGATTTTCGCCTCTTCAGGCCCTCTTGGGAGTCCTCCTGGGGCTCTTTTGGGGCGTCTTGGGCCCTCTGGGGCCGTCTTGACAGCATCTTCGATCGTCTTGGGGCCCTCGTTGGCAGATTCGCGGCCCTCTTGGCCTGTCTTGGGGGCTTGTTGGGCCGTCTGGGAGGGGGCTTGGGGTTTATTGGGCCGTAGTGGGGGCCTCTTGGGCCCCTTTGGGCCCCTCCTGGGCTGTCTTGGGGCTCTCTTGGGCGCCTCTTGCGCCGTCTCCGGGCGATCCTGGACGCCTCTTGAGCCGTCTTGGAGGTCCAGACGGTTGAGGGCGCGAGAATCTCAAATTCCGTAGGAAACCCATCGGAAATCTACGATTTCGGCCTCGTGGGGCCCTGGGAGACCGGGGGCGGGGACGTGAGACGTCCCGGGGCGTCTTGGGAGCCTGTGAGACCGTCTTGGGAGCATCTTGGGCCGTCTGAGGGCCGTCTATGGTCGTCTCGGGGCCTCCTTGGGCTACCTCGGAGCTTTTCTGGGGAGCTCTGGTGCCGATTCGGAGCCCTCCTGGGGCCCTTTCGGTCCCTCTGGGGCGTTCGGGGAACCAGGGGTCCCCCCCAACCCGCAAGGCTTCCGACTGATTGATTTGAATGGAGATTGCCCAACACGTGCATTGCACGACTCTGGTTGCTTCACACATATTGCACCACCTAGATCACACCACCTAGAGTGCACAACTTAGATAGAATACCACATGTTGTACAACCTAAACAGCACCACGTAGATTGCACCACATGGAACACTCCACCTATATTGTGCAACCTATATCGCACCTCATAGATCGCACTACGTCTATTGTACAACATAGGTTGCACAGCATTGGCTGCACAACATATACTGCACAAGCTGGATCGCACCACATGTATTCCTCCACATACTGTACACAACCTAGATTCCTAGAAACACACTGCATGGGGTCCACGCTGGCTAACATCAAAAGTGCTCCAACCGAACAACACGTGATACGCCACTGTTTGAAATACGTTGACCAAAAAAAAGCTACGCGGGAGGAAAAATCCCCGCTTGCACAGCACCTGGGGAAGGAGGGTAATATCCATTTTCGGAAATTGTGGAGGGGAGGACGAAAGAGGGGGGAGGGAGGATGAGAGGGGAGCAGAGCGGGGAAGAGGAGATACGAGGACAGGGGAGGCGGGATGAGGAAGAGGGGCTGGGGAGGAGGGAGGGTACGAGAGGAGGGACGACGAGAGGAGGGACGAGGAGAGGAGGGACGAGGAGAGGAGGAGGGCGGGGGCTGGGGAGGGCGGCGGAAGGCGGGGGGGGGAAGCGAACCCGTCAGCCATACCCTGCTTCCCATGACCCATGCCCGCAGAGTCGGGCCCCCCAGGCCGAGAGCTTGGGCAGATGGGGGAGCTCCTCCTCATCCTCCTCTTCCTCCTCCTCCTCCTCGTGATGCTCCTCCTCCTCCTCCTCCTCCTCCTCCTCCTCCTCCTCCTCCTCTTCCTGATCATCATCATCATCATCATCATCATCATCATCATCATCATCATCATCATCATCATCATCATCATCATCATCATCATCATCATCATCAGCATCATCATCATCATCATCAGCAGCAGCAGCAGCAGCAGCAGCCTCAGCAGCAGCAGCAGCATCATCATCAGCAGCATCAGCAGCATCAGCAGCATCATCCTCATGATCATCATCATCATCATCATCATCATCATCATCAGCAGCAGCATCAACATCATAATCATCCTGATAGATTACTTTTCATCCATCGTCTGCCTCTCCCATCTTCCTCACCGCTTCTCCCTCCTCCTCCCTCGCCCCGTTCCTCCTCCCCTTTCCCGTCTCCCTCCTCCCTCTCTCACTCCTCCTACTCGTCCTCCCCTCATTTTTGGGACCGCTACTATTCTGCATAGCAGCGCGATGACACTCCATCACATGCTTGGAACGCGTCCCTCAGAAGAGAGCCGCACGACGTGAACATGTAGAGCAAACGAGCATGACGAGACGGGGGGGACTGCGGGAACTAGCGAGGAGTTGACACGCGGCGCGCATGCTCCCTAGGCACATCCCCTCCGTCCCTGGGCGATGGGTGATGGGGCGATGGGGGGAGGGAAGGAGGGAGGGCAGGGAGGGAGGATGAGCAGGAAGGGAGACGAGAGGCTGCAGGACGGAGACCTGCTGAAGCGCGGCAACTGGTTGAACGCGTCCAGCGCGGCACGGTAACCCGCAATATTGGCCATGGAGGTCAGCGCGTCGAGCTTCTGGCACCGGCAGAGAGGTAGCAGGGGAGGAAGGAAGGAGGAGAGGGGAAAGGGAGAACCAGGAGGAGGAGGAGGCGACGGGAGAAGGGCGAAGAAGAAGGGGAAGCTGGAGGGAAGTCGCAAAGGTCCGCCACCGTGCCATGACATCTTGGGGGGGTTTAACATGATAAAGTGCTCGGCGATGGCTGATGTCAGTACAAACACACGTCGGGTGACAAGGAGTTTGGGACGATGGGTGCGGCGTTCGGCTTTCGGCTTAAGATGGATTTCGCGTCGGAGTGGCACAGTATCAACTCGCCTGCGTAGTACAACTCGTACAAACCATCTAACCAGTCCAACAAATCTGAGTCTTCTGTATCATCCAACTGTTATGTCAAGCACGGATCTTAGAACTCTTACCGCAATGACAACGGCAAACTGTGCTAAGTCACAATATTGTCATACCCCGCCTAACCGCTCTTACCAGCATGACTCGCCTGTGCCGTAGAACTCCTGTAACCAGCTGTTCCAGCCCTTAAAAACCATTCCAGTGTGCCGTATATTCTGACTAGTCTGGTCAGTCTGGTCATGCATCGCAAACCCAGGTCGCTTCGATATGAGCCGAAATGTCTGGCAACTCGAACTCATTCGGCAAAAACTCCCTTGTACAAGGTCTCCATCCCGAATCGTTTGTTTACGATCCACGGGCCCTGAACCGACCTTCAGACGCCGAAACACACACAAAAACAAACGCGATGTGTTCGACCCCGACGACGACGCCTACGACGGCGACAGACGACAGAGGACGACGGACGACGGGCGACGAACGACGGATGATATACGACAGGCGACAAGGCGACGACGACGACGACGACGACGACGACGAAGACGACGAACGACGACGACGACGACGACGGACGTCGACGACCACGACCACGACCACGACTGTTCTGTTCTGCTCTGTTAGGCGCCCTGCAGGGGTGCCACCTGGGCCCGACGCCGCGCAGGGAAGCTTGTGGATACAAACGGTTCAGGCTTATCCTAAAGCGCGTCGCCATTCAAGCCATGTCTTCTGGGTATCTCTCCAAGACCAGATCTGGAAGGGCTGAAAGAGCCACCCGCCCCCAAAGAACTTATCAAAGTCGCGCTCGCATCGCCAGATCCCGACCGTGCGGTGGTGCAGTTGAGACCCATGTCATCTTGTCGTGGCCGTCATCCACGCACTGTCGTGGAAGCAGAGGACTCTATGTGCTATACGTTCGGGCGGCGACGCTCCTTTGGACTGCAGACGGCATGCCCAGCTACATCGCATGCGACGGCATGTCTGGGTCCAGGGTGCAAAATTATATCTAGAGCGCACATCTGCTACACAGGCCATCGCGGCCTGCATAAGTTGTGCTGCTGACTCGGTCCGGGGGTTCGGAGCATTATGCGGAGCATCGTGTTGTGACACTTTGAAATCCTACTCACGGCTGAAACTGTGATATGGAAGCTACCTATACAATAGGTGAGAGCGGGCCGGACACATCTAACTAGGGCTCGCAACCGTTTTGGGACGCTAAGCTTCTTAGTTGTCAGGAGGGCTCTATGTGCTGCCCAGGTCTTCCAGGCGCGCTGTCTCATATGTGCAACCTCATTCGCGCAGCTGCGGTCGGAAGCTATATGCGTGCCAAGAACCTTCAGGCCTATATGCCTTTCACGGCAAGGGATGAGGGCACTGCGAACGCGAAGCGCGCCAATACGTTTAGCATAGGTGTGGCACCACTCCATCTCCTGAACTGGGACTGTAAGATGACTACGATTCAGAATACGCAGCCACGCTTCCGACATCTCTTTGGCCATGGACACAGACCGAGCCAGGAGCCATACATTATCTGCAAAGCTTAGGACACCGACCGTTTCGACGCCTTCCTTGGGAACGTCAATATGACATCCTAGCCGTTTTTTTGGTCTGGCAGAGGTCCTGGAAATCTGAAATACATTCATCTAGACACACGTGGCTTAACTCGGGAGCCACAGGATCGCCCTGAATGAAAGATTTCTCGCGCCGAATCGGGTCCGTGAGGGCATGTCCAGGCAGACGGACGCGAGTAGCAGACCTGCGGGTCCCCCTTATCTAGAAAGCCGCTGCCACACGTGAAACTCCTTTCTGATCGAGGCGGTGCGCGAGTGCAGCGTGCGAAATGCGATCATAAAACTTTCGGGTATTGCCCCCCACGATGACCTAGGTGGGTCCTTATGTTCACAAAACTTGTCTACTAAATGTTGCACGAGATAGATTATTTCATGGGCTTGGTAGCTACGTCGGAAGGCGAATTGCCGCTCGCATCGGTCTGTCTCCAAGGGGCCTCGCTGGGTCCCCAGGACCATCATGCTCAGAACCTTCAGAAGGACGCGCACCAGGGCGATCGGTCGAAACTGCAAGATTTTTGCAGTGCCCAGAACCTTTCGAATCAACTGAACCACGTGCTGGCCCCAGGCGTCACCCAGGAACTCCGAAGCGTGATTGCGCACCCGAAGTCGAAAAGCTCCCAGAAGCTGTTTAAGTGCATCATCTTCAAAACTCTGAAGCATCTCTCCGACGATCATACCGATCTCATCGCAAGACTTGTTTTTTTCTGCAGTTTTCCAACCACCATCTTTAGCAACGGCAAGCTGAGGGGCACCTCTGCTGCTGCTCCTCGGGCGCCCATTGCCCGCGCATCCAGCCGGGCAGCGCGCAGTCGACCCCGGGGTCCTGGAAGAGCTTCTCGTAGAAAGCGAACGCCTCAGCGCGCCGATCAGCTCCTGTGGTAGCCGAGCTGCAGTCCTCTTTCTCCAGGCTGTACACGGGTTGACCTGACTTGAAGGGCCGATCCGCTTTCCCGCGAGCGCGCCACCTGTCCATGTGGACGGCCACGCATTGGTCTCGCATCTCTCACTTGGCCTTGCAGACCGTGGACCCCAGCATGTGTCTAACACGAGGGCATTCCTCTGTTGCCCGTAGTCGCTCCAGGGCCTGGAGACGCAGAAGCTGCGGATCGCCTGGAGGCGGCCTCCACCGGCCACGCCGCGGCACGTGCCCTGCAAAAGCTGCCGCGCCCGCGATCGCAGCCGCGAGGGCGCCCAACGGGGCAACGCCACCGCGGCCGCTGCAGGCGCCAGCGGCAGGCGGGCGGGGGAAGGCCTGAAGCGAGGCCCCCGCACCCTCTCGGCGGATGCTCTCCAGGCGCCGCTTCCGCGCTAAGCGCTGGACGACGCAGCGCTGCTCGCGGGTCTCCAGGAAGGCCTGCTGGCCCCAGTCGGCGCGGGGGCAAGGTCGTCGCCAGTGGCGCCCCTGCCGTCTGGGATCACACCCCGCCCTGGCAAGGCGGTCGGCTCGCTCGCTGCCATCGTTGCCGCTGCGACCCTTCACCCAGCGAGTAATCATGCCAAAATGTCGCCCAGCCTGGGCCCACCGGGGGTCGCCAGCGTCGCGAGCTCGAAGTTCTCCTTGGGCTGGAAGGCGCCCTGCGCCAGGTCGCGGACGCAGGTCGAGGTCCCCGTCCGTGCGCTGCATCGGCGCCGGCGGCGTGTAGCTGATCTCCAAGGCCGCACAGATGCTGGCGTTGAAAGCCTCGGGGCCCCCGATCTGCCAGGCAACGGGCTTGCGAGGCGGCCTCTCCAGCACCTCCTGTGGCGCGTAGTCCACATGGCCCTCGATAGTCGCGATCGCGCCGCCTGCGTGGCACCGGAGTAACAGAGGCACGCGATCGCTCTCAGTGGCGTCGCTGAAACGAGCTTGGCATTCACATTTGCGGCGCCAATCTCGGCTCACAAGCATAAAGTCAATCTGGCGTGGCTCTCTGCGGTCATTGTAGAAGCACCTGTGCTGGCCCCATTTCCCCATAGTGAAGGTATTCGTCGCGACTAGGTCGAACTCTTGCATCAAGTCTCGCGGCATACGTCGAAGAAGAGGCTGAATGATACTGGAAAAAAACACATCAGGGCTATAGGGCTAGGGGGCTATAGGGTTATAGGGCTATTGAACTATAGGGCTATAGAACTATGGGGCTATAGAGTTGCAAGGCTATATATAGCCATTGGGCCATATATAAAGCGACACCCCCGGGCACCCGGGCACCCGGGCGTGTGCGCCGCGAAAATCGGCGGCAAACCTAAAGCTACAGGTCTGTAGGGTTGCAGGGCTATAGGGCTATTGGGCTATTGGGCCATAGGGCTATAGGGCACCCCCGGGCACCCCCAGGCACCCCCGGGCACGCCCGGGCACCCGGGCACAAGGGCACCCGGGCACCCCCAGGCACGCCCGGGCACCCGCGGGCACCCGGGCACCCGGGCACCCCCGGGCACCCCCGGGCACCCCAGCACCCCTGGGCACCCGGGCACCCGGACGCGCCGCGAAAATCGGCGACAAACCTAACCTAACCATATGAATCCGCTAGGATCCCATACAGAGGCAAGCTCCGATTGGGGAAAAAGGCCTGTCGTGTCTCCATCTGAAACCCCCAGTCCATCCTGGGCGCCGGCACTGATAATGTCATTGCAACCGCTCAGCATTGAAATTAAACAGTCCCTTAACTGCTCGATCGTCTCTGCGTACTCTTGACGAACTACGTGCAAAAACTGATGGCCCGTGACGAACCGAACCTTGCCCCAGCACTGCAACTGTAAGTCCAGGGCCACGGCGCGAGCGCGGTGCCGCGGCTGGCCGCAGACGGAAAGCTGAAGAGATCTAGCAACCGCTATCGCGCATCTTTACCAAGCCCCCGATATGTTATATATATAGATAACGTGCACAACATAACCATCGCATGACTACTCAACACCACCGGCCACGCACCACCCCTGGAAAAAATGACCTGCGGACTGAATTCGCTTGTAAGCTCTTCGAGGACGCGGGCCCACCGTCGAGCAAGGACGCCTCTCGCATTCCACCCGGGAACTGCGAGGTCCCCGACGCCCTTGGCAAAGCGGCGCCCACGTACCCGAAATCACTGTGCACGAGGAGGACTGCTGATGCCCCCCAACTTCTCGTCGAGCTTCAAGCCCTTCAGCCCCTGATTCATCAAGGCCAGGGCGTCGGGTCCTTTCTCCAGCTCGAGCAAGTCGGAATACGCGAGCGGGTCAAGATGCGGATCGGCCGTTCCGTGCTGTTCTTGCGATACACCACCTGCCCACGATCCCAATCGCCGTCGAAGGTCCGCACCTTGTTCTCATCCGTGCACAGGTTGGTGGTCGCTCCGAACTCCCTGAAGATGCGCACTGCGTAGCTCGCCCTGCGAGACAGCTCCACCTCGTGGGGTTATTGGCCCGCTTTGTGACACAGTCGATCGTTCCGCGCTCCTGGGCACGGGATCTGTTGCCCCTTCCACTTGTTCCATGAAATCCCACATATGACGGTCGCTCGCGAAGACGACCTTGGCCTTGCCACAGAAACGTCCAAACCCCTTGACGTCGGTGATGCCCTGGCTCGCCAAACTGCTAACCTTGGCCAATTCTTCGCGAAGGTGTTTCTCGACCTCCTCCTTCTCCCACGTCCCAGGGAATACTGCCACGAAAACGATGTGCTTAGTGTTCTTCCCGAGGCCCCCGCCTCTCGGCGGTGCGCCTGAGCCGAAGCCCAGGCCTGGGCCCGAGGAAGAACCACCTGCTCCTGCTCCATGTCGCTGTTGCTGAAGATAGACGCCACACGGGTCCTGTCCATTGCCAGGGCCACTGCCCAGGCCTGGGCGAGAGCCACCGCCGACTAAACTCGCCGCCGTCGATCTTCCTGCCTCGATCGCCTCGATCGCGGCACTCTGCGCCCGCAGCTGTGCTTGAATCGTCGCAATATCTTTCGAGCTTGACTCCACCGTGAGTCGCAGCGTGGTGACCGACTCCTCGATCTTGCCAACTCTGCCACCCACAGTGCCGATGATATAGTTCGCCATCCCAGCGAGCTCGGGGTTCCCTGGAGGTGCTAGCTGTTGCGGCTCTGGAGCACGCTGACGGCAATCTCCAGCGGGGGTTGCCCCGTCGTCGTCGCCCTCCGCGGTGCTTGCTATGCCGTCATCCACGTCAGCCAGGTTGTCACGCTTCTCCAGACGGCGCCGCTGCTCTCGCGCCCAAGCCTCGCTCTGGCCTCCCTCGAGCGCGGCGGGAGCTGCGAGCGTGGCCATGGCAGCGCGCAGGGCACGAAACAAGCAGCGCCGACTGCGAGTGCGAGAGGGAGGTCTCTAGAACATCCTGGGTGCCGCCTTGAGCCAAAATGGCTACGACCACGACGGCGACGACGACGACGACCACGACGACGACGGGAACGACCACGACGACCACGACGACCACGACCACGAATACGACGACGACCGCGACGACGACGACGACGACGACGCTGGTCGAAGCAAGAAGAGGATGGACGAAGACGTACAAAGACGAGGGACGACGACATTGACGACGACGACGACGACGACGACGACGAAGACGAAGACGGCGGACGGACTGACAGACAACCAGTCGGCGACGGCCGCCGAAGGCCGTATAGGGACGCCGACGGCGGCCGAGGGACGCCTGCGCCCGCGAGATGCGCGGCACGAGTGCCAGGTTCACGAACGAGGCCGCGGACTGCTGCAAGGCTTCGGTGAGCTCCTCTTAGCCGCGAGGCTCCCCCCGCGAGGAGGGATGACCGAGGGCGTCGTCGTTGTTGAGCCCCCCCCGCGCGCGCAGGAGCGCGCTGAGGATGAGGAGGAGGATGTGGAGGAGGAGGAGGAGGAGGAGAAGGAGGAGGACGGGAAGGATAAGGGGGAGGAGGAGGAGGAGGAGGAGGAGGAGGAGGAGGAGGAGGAGGCGGTGAGTCGAGATTGTGTCAGAAACTTCGGCCTCAGTTTCCGGGGGTGGGGCCTGGGACAGCCAGAAAGCACTCGAGGTAACAAAATTGCACCAACGAACAGGTGAACAACTCCAGCGTCCAACGATTGCAACAAAAACAAGTTGTCAGAGGTCTGAAAGGAAGGAGGACGATGACGATGAGGGAAAGGCGAGGAGAGATGGATGAGGAGGGAGGAGGCAGGAGGGCGGAGGGAGGAGAGGGAGGAGGACGACGACGACGGCGGAAGAGTAGCGAGGAGGGAGGATGGGGAGAGGGCAAAAGACGACGAACGAGGCGGATGAGGCGACGAGGACGACGACGATAGCGACGAGGATGGAGGAGCGAGGGGGAAGAAGCAGGGAGGAGGAAGCAGAGAGAGGAGGGAGGAAGAAAAAGGGGAAGGAGGCACGAGGCAGGAGACGAAGGAGGACCGCCACTCCATGGGTGCCGCCTCGGGGCTACCAACCCTGTGTGGCTGGGCGGCATCTCCCGGTGCGTCCCGAGCAACCGAATCCGTCCAAAAGGCAGAACAGGGGCGGGCCTCCCGCCGCCATGCTGCAGAGAGGAGAATCGAAGATGGAGGCTTTGAGCTCTGACTCGCTTGACCTCACTGGGGCCTTCAAAGCTCCCGGCGACCTCCCGAAACCTCTGGGGACCTCCGGAGACCTCCACGGCCCTCCCTCCACTTAGAAAGAGCAGAGGAAGAAAAACGGCATGAACAGAAACTGACGGAACTCCGCGCCGATCCCCCGGATCGGCGCTGGATCCCCCTCCCTGGCGTGGTCCGCGCGCCAGGGCCAGCGCCTCGGGCGCCGCCAGGGCGGCCCAGCCCCGATCCGAGGAATTCACGCGGAACTTAGAAAGTTCATGGTTATGCAGTGTATTGCTCTTCGATTCCAGGAGCCTCCGTCTACTCCGAGAGAGAAAGAGAAAGAGAGAGAGGGCCGTGCGCGAGCGACCCCAGCGAGCAGCCCTCTCTCCCTTTTCAGATGTCATCGCGCCACCATGTTGTTGCCCGCCGTACCGTCTCCACCCCTGCTGTATGGCACTCTGGCTGTGGGTCGGTTTCGGGGCTACCTAGCAGCCCCTCGACATGTACTCGTGCAGAACATATGCACAAAATGTGCCCTGCGGAAGAAGTCGGACCCCAATTCAGCTACGTTTTCGTACTGGGTCTGCCGGGCGCAGTGAGGTTGCATGGTGTCGTCGTCGCTGTCGTCGTGGGCCGTGGCGTGGTCCCATGGGGCAAGCCTCTTGATACACACACACACACACACACACACACACACACACACACACACACACACACGCACATACGACTCACCCCAGGACGAGGGGCCCCAACGACTCACACCACGAGGAGCCCGAACGACTCACACACCAGGAGGGGCCCGAGCGACGCACACCAGGACGAGCGGCCCGAACGACTCACACCACGAGGAGCCCGAACGACTCACACGCAAGGAGGCGCCCGCACGACTCACACCACATTGATTTCACGAAGGTTTTGGGCTCATCTTCTCAGGGGGCAACGCTCACTTGCGCGTCTGAGGAGGTCGCAAGAGGCCCCAAGATGGCCTCAAGAGGCCCCCAGGAGGCTCCCAAGTGGCCTCCAAGAGGCCCCAAGAGGCCCCCAAGAAGCCCCAAGAGGCCCCCCAGAGGCTCCCAAGAGGCCCCCACGAGGCCCCAGGAGGCTCCAAGAGGCACCCAAGAGGCCCCCAAGAGGCCCCCAAGAGTCTCCCAAGAGACCGCAAGAGGCTCCAAGAGGCCCCCAAGAGGCCCCACGAGGAGCCCGAACGACTCACACCAGGACGAGACACCCCGAACGACTCACACCACGAGGAGCCCGAACGACTCCCACCAGGAGGAGGAGCCCGAACGACTCACCCCAGGACGAGGGGCCCCAACGACTCACACCACGAGGACCCCGAACGACTCACACACCAGGAGGGGCCCGAGCGACGCACACCAGAGCGAGCGGCCCGAACGACTCACACCACGAGAAGCCCGAACGACTCACACGCAAGGAGGCGCCCGCACAACTCACACCAGGACGAGGGCCCCGAACGACTCACGCCATGAGGAGCCCGAACGACGATTCCAGGGACACGACTGAAACGAAACACACGAGACAGAGGCGGAGGAGAAGGCCTGAGAAGAGGACACACATGTTTTGGCATCGAGCGCCCTATCACAAGGTACTCCCACCAATCCACCAACAGTGCGTCGAGTCACCAGCACCATCACCTGCCAGGATGCCAAACACCCGCACACAAAACAGTAACCAGATATCATGGTAACCAGTACGAGAAACCTCAAGTACGGTCTCTGCCATGATGCCATTCAAAATGTTCCAGCGATGTGTTTACAACATTAGAACTCACCTGACGCGCCACGGAAGCAGAGTAGCGGCACATCCACCATTGGATACGTACCGAAGCTCCAGCCAAACATACAGGAAGGACGGTCTCCATTGAGACAACTTCCACTGTTCAGTCTCACTGTACCCAAAGATATTCTCTTATAGCAGCGTGACATCCATAGTGGTACGCATGGGCCTCACCAGAACTGGAGGACAGGCTATAAACTAAACGTGCCCTTCGCACCAATGAACCAACACTGACTACAATAACCAGCACTTTCACCAGAACAGGATAACAAGCACCATCACAGAGGGCAGAATCGAGCACCCGAGAACCACAGTACGAGCTTCAGCCGAGTGCAATACAAGTGCCACCAGCAAGCTGTTTCCTGTAGTAGAGTCTACGTGAAGCGCACGGGGTCCAGCTGAGTGTAGTACTCGTTCAACCAGCAAGCTGATTCCTATAGCACAAGCAACCTGAGGCGCCACGGACAATGTGCAGTGGCACATCCACCATTCGATAGATACCGAAGCCGTAGCCATGTATACAGGAACCCCCGAGTCCATTGAGGCAACATCTTGTTTTCAGTCTGACTATACCAAGGGATAGTGTCGCCAGTAACACGTCTGGGCCGACGGCCTCCGCGCCGCACCTCATCGTCCCCAGGCTTTCTTCCGCCATTCGGGAGTCGGGTGCAACTCGTCCAAGAACTTCCGGTCGTCGGCGGATATCGCTCCGTCGCTGCCCGGCCAGCGTTCTCTCCGAAATACACGGGGGTCAGCGGGCATTGGGCTTGGTGAATGCGGCAAAGGCACTTGCACTTGCGCTTGCTCTTCTGCAGCGCTTTGCGCAGGTGGCGCACTCGTTCGTCGATGTCAGCGACGAACCCCTTGCACTGTAGCTTCTGGCGATTATCATGCTTGTGGTGTTTCAGTTGCTTTGGGTTGAATTTACGAGCGCCGAAACTGCAGGAACACCTCTGGCACATGTACGTCGCAAGGTCCAACGGGTCGAATCCTTGCGCACGGCACGCCTTACAGACTAACGTGGTGCCCCGAGACGACGCGTGATGCCTGCGTTCAGCCTTCGACCAGTACTTCAGCTCATATGCCGTTGTACACTTACCGCACCGCAGCTTCGTCTGACAGTCCAAGCACACCAAACGGGCCTTCTCCCGCCTCTTCGCATTGCGCAGCAATTCCCTGTCGAACGCGAGGCTGCCCAAGTGCTCCAAGCAATCTTCGCACTGATGCTCGTCGATGTTGCCGGGCGCGAACCCTCGCTCTGCGCAGCCTGGGCACACGAGGTCTCTATCGGCATGCCGATGATGTCTCATAATATTCGCGCCCCACACGCCTTCGCCAAAAGCATCTTTGCAAGCAGCACACCCGTGGCTCTGCGGGGTCAGGCTCTTCTTCCAGTCATCACGTTCCACACGCCGCTTGCATGTTGAACGATATGGAGGGATTCTCCTTGGAGCGTTGCCATCGGCCATCCCTTGGGAAACCTCGGCCGCCCGCGCAGACCGACAAGGCATTGGGCAGCTCTCGCGCGCGCAGTCCATGCATCTCGTCCACCTGCCTTGCGACACGTACTTCTCGTAGAAGTCAGCGGCTGCTTTCATGCCGAAATCGCGAGCGTCGAGCATGTACTCCTGCTTCCCTTTGAGGTAGCAGCAGACGCAGAGGTGCTGCTTCGCCATGGGGTCCATCTTCTCAGCTTCAGCGGCCTCGTCATCAAGCGTACTCCATTCATGAATCGCCTCGTCTGCTGTGATCTGGCCAGAAAGCTTCCGCATCAGTCGCTCGGGCCCCACTGGGTTGCCGAGGCCGAAAAGAGAGGTTGAGAACGGTTGCATGACGCAGACGTTTGGCAATCGCTTCACTCTGGACAAGCATACGTAGGCAGCAATCTGAGCTGTCATGGACGCCCTGCTGGACCAATGCTGCAGGTCAGCGAATGCCGCTTCCAACGTCGCCCCCTGGATCATGTGAGCGGTGGAAGCGAAGTCGGGGAGAATCCAGAAGCCCGCGCGTCGAGCTTCGATGCCCGTGTGCCTGTTGACTTTCCAGGTCCTGGATCCTCGCTTCAACGGGTATACGCCCGTCGGCAGCTTCCCTTCCCTATTGTCCACTGTGCTTCTGGGAAATGGATATAGATAACCAAGGGCAACCTATCCAATATGAACTCGCCCTCGATCTCCTGGGGACTGCAATCAGGCGCCAAAGTCCACCCGTAAATCACCCCCTTTCGGTGTCTGTAGAGTTGTCTGCTTCGATCGACGTTGTCCGTCAACCGAATGGCATGCCTTTGGCCAATGGGTAGATGCTGGGAATGTTGCCCGTCTCCTGGTCGTGCCTCTTCAGCCAGGAGAACAACTTCTCGTCCAATTTCTCCTTCGGCAGATCGCGATCTCC